CCATATATTCACTTTGCGGCAGATGCTTGAGGAGCGTCACGCACACCGCAAACCGACAATAGCTGTGTTCCTCGATTTCAAGAGTGCCTTCGATTAAGTCGATCGATCGATTCTGTTCGAAATACTTGCGCGAAAAGGTGTTCCGACGTAATATGTGAACATTCTTCGTGTTCTATACTCGAACACTACAGGCCGGATCAGGGTCTATGGTGTCCTATCGGATAGCTTTCCGACCCTAAGTGGTGTTCGTCAGGGTTGTGCGATTACGTCATTTTTCTTCAATTTCGTCGTGGATTCTATCATGGAGTGTTTGTTACCTTGCGTAATCTCGCGATGTAAGTATTGAGGTCCTGCCTGGTAAACGCTTAGTTGATCTAGACTGTACGGTCGATATCGTCTTGCTTTTCGACGATGTTGCGGCTGCACAATCAATCCTGATTAGCATGTCTGGTGTGATCCCATTATTTAGTATGCGCTTCGCACCTTCAAAATGCGAAGTGTTGCTGCAGGACCACCAGCCACTTTATGACCCCTTGACGCTTGCTAACGAGGAACTCGAGGTGGTTGATCATTTCACTTACTTTGGCAGCTGCATCAGCAACGATGGGCGCATAGAAACTGAAGTCAGTTCACGTAGAGCAGAGGCCAGAACTACCTTTTTGAACCTGCGGCATTTTTGGCGACGGAGGAGAGTTTCCCTCCGTCTGAAAGGCCGTGTATACAAGTCCACAGACAGGGCTGTTCTGCTCTATGGGAGTGAGACTTGGCCCCGTGGTTCTGTAGATCTGAGGCGCCTTCAAGTCTTTGGTCATCGTTGTCTGCGAAGCATTTCTGGTGTCGGATGGCACCAGCATGTCCGCAACGATGATGTGCGTAGGCGAGTACTAGCTAGTGATAATCTTGCTTGGTCCGTAGAACAACAGATGGCGCTGAGTAAGTTGCGTTGGCTTGGGCACGTGCTACGTATGTCTGGTCACCGTTTACCTAGGATTGCCTTGTTTAGTCTCCCAGGTGTAGGATGGCGCAAGGCTCGAGGTGGACAGCAGTTGACTTGGCAGCGTGAAATGAAGTCACTGACGACCAAACTGGGTGCCTTTGGTCCGTCTCGTCTTCCGTGCTGGAGTCCACGTGACACACCTTGTGCTTGGCTCGAGACTTTACAGGACATGGCTCGCAACCGACACCAGTGGCGCGTCTGCTGCCGTCTCCTAATCGGATTGTCTGTTTAAAGTGTGTTTGATGCTGAGTTATCTTCGGAGTGATGGCTGATTATGACGCGTGGCAGTGAAAGCCGCAAGGAAGCTGTCTCGCCGATGCCACCTTATCTTTGCACGATAGCCAGCGGCTTGTGATTTTGTCTTGTCCACAAGGTGTAGGCGCCCTGACCCTGAATGTTTGCTTAGGGCATTAAGGTTTTCAGGTAAGTCCCCTTTCTCTCCCTCTTATTATTCTTTATGCCATAGGTCCTCATGGTTGTATGGCAGCGAAGCATCAGTTCAAATGGCTGCTGTACTGCTGTTGTTGATTGGTTGTTGATGAGGACCACATAGCTCTACTTGGGTCTGATGCAGTGGCCTTGCAATAGCTACTGAGGAAACTGTTGCGTAGTGTTGTATGTTCTGGCATGTGCCCCTTTACCCTTTCGAACTGCAATGTACTGTTACAGAACTGGACTGGTATGCCATCAGTTTTCGCTCTCAGCGAGCACTCACTGGAGGTGTTGGTCGATTCACTTACCTTCGTAGCTTTGTCACCAATGGCGGTCGCATCACCGAGGAGGTGACCGCATTTCAGCGGCTCAACCGGCAATAGTGGCTGCGGGTCATCAGCCTGTCAGCGAAAGGCAGGGTGTAAAAGGCTACGATATATGGATCATGGAAGTTTCTGGTTCGGAATGGAGGCATTAAACACTTGGCCGTGGTTGATCAATGGTCCTTACCGCGTAGCGTCGGTCGGTGACCGAGTGGTCTACACGCCTGGATTGCACTCGTAAGGTCACTGGTTCGAATCCGCGTATGGACGGGCGCACTCGTGGTATACTCAGCCCAAGCGCGACTTGTGGCCGTCAAGGCGTACAGATGCTGCTGCTGTTACCACTACTATTACTACTACTACTACTACTGCTGCTACTACTACTACTACTACTACTACACTGCAACTACAATTACAACTGCTGTCTACTACTACTGTCGTTCACGTCTAATGGGAAAATAGAATGAGCGATGCTGAATTGCTCCACTTGGTTTTTGGTAAGGGGCCCTCGGGTTTTGAACTTGATTTTTGGTTAACTTTTTACTACTTATATTGAGTAGGTCATGTTTTCCCTATGCTCGTTGACCGACTTCCTTGACCTGCATTGTACATTGTGGCTACCCTTAATTAGTGAAACCGCGAGGTTACCAGTCGATGACGTGGCATGAGCCGGCCCGTAGCCTTATGCATTACTGATCCGCCTTGTAATCTGAGGGCGCTGTTCGAACCTGCGTAAGAGACCGGGTGACCTTCGCAGTATACTTAGCCCATGTGCTACTGGTGGCGGTTGCCTAGCAGCAAAGCGTCGGTACATCGTTCAGGTCCACTGCTGATGCCTTTACCTTTTGCGTGGTATGAAGAAATGAATTGACTGAGGCTTCGTCATGCTTGTGCGCGTCGTCTTCGTGGATGGACGCACCGGGTTTGTCTATACCATTGGTCAGAGCCTTTTAGACTTGGTGTATTCCCCGCAGTCCTTGGACTTCCTGCATTCGGGTTTTCGCATCTACTTGTTCGTTTTCATTCCACCTCACACTTCTTTTTTGATTCAATTCTTTTGTTCCCCATTTGCGTTCAACTACATTTTCCTACCGTTGTTATCTGTTGTCATTCTTCCAATGTGAGTTTTGGTACCTCGTTTCTCAGATTTAATTTTTAACAGCTGAACTGAACTAGAGCCTTTGCTGCTCAGTAATTGTCGGCATGCACGCTGCTCCTAATATCAAGTTGCTATTAGTCCTACTGTAGTTACGAAGCTCGTCTTCGAAGTAAGTCTAAATTTCTCCTCAGACTCTGGTGGATTACATCCCATATTTCTCAAGGCGATACCCGAGTGCAACAACAGTTCCGATTGCCAAGTATTTCGCCATTCCCTTGAAGTCGGCCATCCACTGCTAAACTGGCAAGTAGGAACCGTGATACCCAAGTGCTAAGGGGCGAAATACCCGCTTGACGTTCCTAGTATGCGAGATCATAGAGCGAATCATTAAACGCGCCCTCCAGTTTCACTATAGAAACCTTAGCGTTGTGTCCGCCTCTCACCATAGCTTCCGAAGAGCACGCTCTTGCGTCTCCGACTTGTCGCCAAGAAAATAAGGGCAGAAGCTATAGATAACCGAAAACACGTATATGTGATTTTCATTCACTTTTGTAGTTTTTGACAATGTTCAACACGGACGGCGGCTGCTGAAACTTCAGAAAGTTGTTACCAGATGAAGTATTCTCTCTTGAATAGCCGGCTTTTCATGAAGCTGCACCATGCGCTTGGAAGTGAACGAAACCTTCACTCCTATCCTCGTGACTAGTGGTGATTTCTAGTGATGCTTACTTTTGCCAGATCTCTTCAAACTTCACATAAACCATCTCCCGATCGCAATTAAAACCCACTGTTTGATCTACGCTGACGGCCTTAATATTTGGGCTGCAGTATCAAGCCTTACAGATACTAATGAACTACTAGGGACTATCAGGTGGTGTCTACTAGTAATCCGCGATAAAAGCACTGCTTCCATCCGGTTGTATTGCTCTGTGCGGTGCATACCGCCTTACTGGATTTCTCAGGAATACCACTCAAGAATAAAATCTCGGGGTTCTCTTGTCTTCTAACCTTCGAACATCCCGGGGCGTGTTGAAGAAGGTCGCCACTTCAAAGAGACTGCGTTCGCCCAAATGATTCCTGAAATTTTTCGATCTTTGCTTACCTCATATGTTTGTCCGACTCTAGAATGTAAGCTGCCGGTTATCTACCTGCTCACAAATTTTTACTACGCTCCGATTGCGAGGTTTCAAAGATGTGCCTCAAAATCTGTCTTGGGGCTTCGTGATTTCCTTTACCTCTTTCGACTACAACTGTCTAACTTGTTTTCCATGGATTTCCGTCCGCGTCACATCCTCCGAGGAGAGCTCGGAAGTGAGTAACAGCAGTTCTTCCAGCTCAACGCCGGCTGTTCAACACGTGACAAAGGAAGTTTGTTCAAACCACGTTCGCCCAGATGTCACCTTATCCATCCGACTGGTGAATGACTGGAACAGCCTACTGTAGAGAATTATTGACATGCTGTCGGAGGAATGTTACAAGCGGCTTCTAACCAACCGATGAGGACGCAGAAATCTTGTGCTTCCACCGCGACTACAACGAGCTTTTGAGGAACATCGTCACGCAGCGACATTTAGCCAATCCACAATGACTCGGAATTGTCGGAGCTGACTAGGGTTCTTCATGCTGCTCTCCACAACCTAATGGACCTAGTGAACCATGAACTTTACTTTACCACTTGGTTTACAGCATCGCTAGCTTATCCATCTCTCGTCTTTCTGATTTAATGAGCTGTGAGGCTAGTAACCTTCAAAAATTCGGTAGTTGTTTTCCATCTTCTTTTAAAATTATCCTAATTTCATTACAACCTGTAGCAGCGACATATTGTGAATTGTGATGGTAGTCTGCAGAGGTGCAAAGATTACTGTCGTTCTTGCTTCACTTCTGTAAAGAGCCCTAGGTCATGGTTGGCCTGCCGATAGAAGAAGCACGACGCATTAGGCGAAAGCCTGTATCGCTTTTGGAACCTGACTTGACTCGATCTGTTCTCACCATCCATCGAGCTGAGGCTTGACCTCTCGGCAACTGTGCCAACGGCATCCAGCTCTTTACGCGGTGTTAACTAGGTGCATCTTACTTCCAGTTTCTTCTTTTACTAGGTGATTGCGAAATCTCAATCCTACGGCATTCGAGTTGTTTGTTTTACTTTTTAGCTCCAAAATATATCACGACCTCTTTACAAATCGGACACAGCACCCCCGAGAACTTCGACCGGTGCATATTGCAACTTGCTCCCTTGGCTCAGACTTTCCAATGGGAAGGTAAGAGCATTCATTTTTTACTTTTTTCGCTAGGCGTCATCGTAGACTGCGCCGTCAAATCCCAAAGCAACCACATGTGGGTTCTCATGAAATGTTGGCCACTGAGAACAATGAAGAAAAGAATGCGGCTGATCAGCTGGCGGAACAGTCCGGCCAAACATTTTGTTCATCGTCAGATCTTGACACAAGTCATAGTCACAATTTTATCGACAAGCCTGTCTTCCATGGGTTTCACTGCGTTATCCCTGTTTTTCTCCCTAGCACAAATCGTCAGCTGCTGGCATCGCTACTTGCCCTGGATCGGGGGGATTCTGTTGTTATTTCCGGTCCCGTTGGTTGCGGGAAGTCTGCTTTCATCAACCATTTACGCTCTATTGTTTGCACTCGCCTCATTAGACTGCAAATAAGCGAACAAACAGATGCTAAGGTTGGTCTTCATTTGATACTTGGTTCTTTGCATACCGTGCTAGCGTAGTTTTTCACCATCCAACTTTAACTAAAGTAATACATCACTAACTGTTGTTCTTTTCTGCACTTATAACCACTACATTGGTTGGTTACTACTAGCTTTCTTCGCGCTGCCGTTCTAATAGGTATAAATGTTAATAGAGAAGAGGATCATAAACTAAAGATCCGCATGTTATCAGTTACGACTTAAAGTGGTGTTCTTGCTGTACTCCAAATTTCCGGTAGTCAATGTAAGCGCGATATATTTTTGTATACGAGCTGCACTTTACTACCAAGCAATGTTCATTAGGACTTGCAGTCATCATTCTGGCCGATCTTGTGAAAGGCTTGTCTCATTGTGATTCGGTTGATCGTAACTACGTATGACGATGACTGACGGATGAAATATACCTGCGTTTTCCTTTACTCTAAAGTATGTGCGCCGCAATTCACAAGATTTTGCAAGAATCTACGGAAAACTCCACTGAGATCACCACGGCAAGTAGAGCACCCCTCTCAGCACGAGTGATCCACAGGTGTGCTCAGCACTGTTCGATGGACTGCATCTGACTGGTGATCTGTGTTTCCCTGGCCGTCCAAATAAAATCAATTTCGAATCGCAAATATCCTAAAAATGGAACGACTGACCGTCCACCTATGCCAGCGGGGACTTCATAACTGCCGTCTCTCTCCTGTCCAACTGTATGGTCCAAAGTCTAAACTGGTTTCACCATACCTTCCGGAGTACAGTTTACGTGAGCTAGCCGACTCACACTTGGGCTACACGGATCGTACTCTGCTGCTGCACAAGAGCTACTGACTAGGATGACAAGTAGCGTTGCGCGCTTCAGCATGCGCTTTGCGCGTGCTCGGTGAAAGGTATTGCTATTAGACTGGACCGACATGCCACCATTGTTTACTATTATGGAGGTGCTACTCGAATTTGTCCATCGCTTTGCCTTTATCACTTCGGGCATTTGCACCGCTCATGAGATCGCTGCGAGCCTCGCCAAAGCGGAATTCAAGCTTACTATTTGAGGGAAGGGTTTGTTACTCTATGGTGTGTGGACCAGGTAGCTGACTGCCACGCGCTGAGGACATTAAGAGATTAACCAATTTGACCACCGATGCCTGCGCAGTATTGCCCATGCATGGCTGCAGTTTATCACCTAGTGTTTGATGGCAGACATCTTGTACCTCATTGGCGTGTGTGTTGGACTCGAACCGTCTCCGATCGTCCAATCACATGACCAGTATAGCAACCAGTTAGATGGTCCGGCGCCTATCGCTTTTCAATACCGCACCTAGTTGGATCAAATTCCGAGGTAGTCTGTCAATGACACAGCAGGTGAATATGATGGAGCTCATCGGGAAACCGAGTTGCGTTGTTGCCTGTCTTATTTCCGAATGAAAACATCGAGACCGTGCAAAATAACCACCAGATGCTTTATCGGATATGACGCATTCGCGCTTCTGCAGTTGCTTCCTTATCTCCGGTACATTAGTATGCCAGGTAATTTTGTTTCTTATCGATCCCCCTTGAGCAAAAAAGGTAATAATGGTAATAATTTTTGCGGGTGTGTCGTAGCAACTGGATCCATCGTACCTAGGTGGACAGACCATTTTTGATAAACCTAACAGAACGGTCTCGTCGTAGTGAACTTTGCTAGTTCTCGATAACTCTAAATGCCTGTAATTTTAGTCACGTTTTCTCTCTAGACCTCATTGATTGACGACTCGCCCTTGTGAATTGTATTAGAAGTCAGGGTAAGCGAACATGTTTTCTATAATTCCACTTCAAGCTTCGACTGTTATATACAAATAAAAATAAGCTGGGTAGACAGACATTGCCAGTCGTTAGTCCTGGAGCGAGTTAAATACTGACAATTAATTTGACAGTGGCTATCCGTTAGGTTACGACCACTGACCTCGTGGGTCAGAGGTCGTCAAGCATTTGGGCCAAGGTAGTCCCAACCCTCTAGTTAGCTTCTTCTGGATACACAGTTCCGGGTCCTACAGTCGAATCGCCGTTGCCTCAGCGGCTTCTAGTATTCGTTTACGCACGTAATTCGCTCGGTTTGCCGGGACCTGATAGATAATTTTGAAAGTCAGGTGACTTAGTGGCATGTCCTATGTCAGCGAGGTGTGCAACTATTGAGGAGCTGACTGTTTTTCTGTTTCCAGTTCCAAGCCAGGCCGGGTGGTGTTCCTTCATTCGCTCGGATAGACGCCTTGTCGTACGACCAATCTATTCTGCTCCACAGGAGCAGGAAAAGGAGTTGATGCACGTTGAATTTGCATGGACAGGCCTCTTACTCTTTGAGTTTAGTGTCACCATCGGAGTGCTAGTGAACTGGATTTGCATTTCCGCTGCTGGGTAGGTACGTTTGAGTGCACGTGAAAGACGATGAAATAAGTTTCTTCGTAACTTCGCTCTTGTATGGCAGCTGAACAAGGATCGGCGTGCGTTCCACTGTCGGTAACACGGGCTGTTTCCTCTTCTGTTGTATCTCGGCTTTAATGCAACTTTCGGGGTAGCCATTCTCCCTCAGCGCCGAGCGAATGCACTCCAATTCCTCAGGAAATGTCTTTCGAGCAAATTTTTTCTGCTCGGCTCACTAGGGTGTGGATCAAATTCCGTTTAAACCTTGAAGGAACGTAACTGTAGAAATTTGTGTACTGTCCAGTCTACGTGTATTTCCCATATACGCGACGCTGCAGCGCACCACCATCGTATTTTCAGAGCGACTTTTAGGAAATTAAAGTGGCTGTTTTCTTCCACTTCGTAGGTAAAATTTCTTGCTGGGTGGCATTGGTTGTAGGTGCCTTTTTAGCTCATCGATACTGGGTGGTTTGAAGTAAAATAGAGATGTCATCCACATACCGGCAATATAGACTGAGGTCTGCGATTCTCGATTTTAACTGGCCCTGTTTCAGCATGCCCATAAAAACATCAATGAGGAAGGGTCCAAGGGGGGACCCATCGCACTGCCGGTATATTTCGCCATCGAAGTGAAACTGAACATTAAATGTGCCTCTGAGTAATAATTCCTTTATGACCACAGTGGGCATGCCCACATTTATGTGATGTGCATCAACATACAAATATAATTTATGGTAATCACTGGCACGTTTGTGAACAGTGAAGTAACATCAAACGAGCACATGGGTAGATTGGTGATGTTTACATCCATTCAAGATTTATTGCTCTCTATGCACCTTTGCACAGAAATGCGTACACTGAATCGACGAAGAAGCCGCTTTGCGCTGATTCGTTCAGGGACTTCTGATATGAACCTGAAATGAAACGTTTAACATTGGTTGGGATAATCAGCTGTGCATGCTCGCTTTATAAGGGGAATGTTCTGTTTCCTGATCTCGTTTAACGACGCGCGATAGTTCAAGCGTTTGGATTGCAGTTACTGCGTTTCTGTCCGATTCCACATTGCATGGATCTAGACAACCCTCCGGTATCCCAGGCCATCAACAACCACTCGCGGTTGTATTGCAGCGAAGCATCAACAAGTAGCACTGGTGTACCACCGGCAACAAAACTTACAAAGCCATATGCGACCGATCCCAAGCACATCCCAACAGTACTCTTCAGCTGTACTCCCGATCTGGCTACTTTCCCGTCACTGCCTTGTGGGTCAAACTGTTAAGCCAAAGGCACCTCGAACAAAGTCTATCTCGGACTGAACAGCCGAAGAATCATCTGCCTACAAAGCCCCATCACCAGTACACTTTCTTCTTGTTGTTCTTCTCTCCCCTTGGAGCTGTATTCTTCCCCATCTGCCGAATTGCAGGCAACCAATGGCATCGCAGCTGATGCTATTGAATAATCTAAATCATCCTACAAACCAACATTTTTTTTCACCTTGGTTCCTTCGGCGTTCAAAAGCGTAGCTAGATAAGTCGACAGGCAGCGCTAGCTCTGACTACTCAACAAGTACCATATCTGGGAAACAGGCTCGCAACATTGTCCTTCCAAATCTTCGACGGACCCTGAACTTGCGGGCATTGACTGTTTTCTTCGCATCTCTGGCGATACTGGGTCGTCCACTGGACGAGCTTATGGTGTCGATATTACTATCGGCAAGCATGTTGTAAGCAGTCTTTTCTGCTGGATACTGGTAAACGGCTGCATGTTTGCCGTTCGACTCAGGACTTCCATTAAGGTCATCATTACATCACACATTAGCTGAAGATGAGAAACACACTTCAACTTCCATCAGGGTCAATAAGCAACCGCCTGTAGACAAGGTGCATTTTCATCGCTTCTTTTGATGCCCCTACTGACTACAATTCGGAGGGTATCAAAGACGATTTCTATCGTGAAATCTTATCTCTTCTTTGTATGACGAAAAAAAGCTGGCAATATGAATGCCCAAGTGAGTCACCTTTCATACTCCGAACAACACCGCTTTGAGGTGGATACACATCGAAAAGACCATAGCGATCGATTTTTGCAAATATGTGCTAGCTACATTATTTATATTATCAGCACTGCTTCTCGTACAAAATGTTCAAGTAGCGTTACCTGGGACACTCACCAAATTTCT